AACCCCCCACCCCCCAAAAAAAACCACACACACCAAAAACACCCCAAACTCTCAGTGACAAGTCACATGAAACATTTCTAGTTTGTTTTTAAGGGCTTACAACACATACAACATTGTGAGTTAATAAAAATGCACAAGAGCAGAGGAACGAGTGAGTAATAACAAATTGCTACCCGAAAATTACAAAGTTCTTTCTGCTCAGTCCCTCGTTTTGAGAAATGTGACGTTAAAAATTTGAGTTTCACAACGTGTCGGTCAAGCGTTTTCGAATGCAATTCTTTGAATATCTTGATAACGACTTCAAATAGCTTTAAGGTTTTGATAGAGAAGATAGAACATTTGGTTTCTGATCTCGTGGTCTTTGTAACTCAAAACGACCAAAAACGACAGATAGAACTTTGTCATTCTAAGGCGGCGAAATAACAAAGCACAGAAACACATTTGTTAAACTGCCTCTCATCCCCACATATAAGGGAAAGGCACACAAAGAGCATAGGAACAGGACAGGCACCCAATGACACTATTCACATCACGCCACTGCCGACAGTCCACATGTGAGTAAGTGAGTAGTATTATTATTAATTTTAAGAGCAAGAGGCCCTAACACTGAGAGCTTCAAAGTATTGGGATACCTTGAAAATTCTAACATTGATAGTGGGGGAGAAATGCAGGCCACTTCGATACTTTCGGGGTTTTTTTGTGAGGGGAGAAAGATTGACCATCTCACATATACACGCATACACACACATACAAAACACATACATACATGAATGCACCCTCACACACGCAGACACAAATAGGCACCTGCGTAAGAAACCAACACCGACATAGAGGGTACACCATTAGCAAGCTACAGTAAAGTTGTCATTATGCTGGCTTACAGTGAAAGAAACCTTACTTTTCATCCTCACTAGCGCATTCTTCAACTTTGGTTGCTCAAAGACTTCCCAAGTCTCCCCTGGTTGTTAAATGGGTCTAAAACCACACAACACCACACCTTACGACTCACACATGCACACCCATACACACACATGCACACACATATACACACATACACACGCACGAACACACACACACCCACACACACACACACACCCACACACACACCCACACAAACATATTATAATTACAGACGGAAACATAATAATATACAAAATATAGATAAATGAGAATACTGATCTTCGCACTCTTACATATTATCTTCTCGCCTCATTGTCCCACCCCTAACCTCCACCTCCCCCCCCCCCACCCACACACACACACACACACACACACACACACACACACA